TTCTAGAAATTCCAGAAAATTCCAGAAAATTCTAGAAAATTCCAGAACTTTCTCGAAAATTCTAGAAAATTCCAGAACATTCTCGAAAATTCCAGAACATTCTCGAAAATTCCAGAACATTCTAGAAAATTCCAGAAAATTCCAGAAAATTCTAGAAAATTCCAGAACATTCTCGAAAATTCCAGAACATTCTAGAAAATTCCAGAACATTCTAGAAAATTCCAGAACATTCTAGAAAATTCCAGAACATTCTAGAAAATTCCAGAAAATTCCAGAAAATTCTAGAAAATTCCAGAACATTCTCGAAAATTCCAGAACATTCTAGAAAATTCCAGAAAATTCTAGAAAATTCCAGAACATTCTCGAAAATTCCAGAAAATTCTAGAAAATTCTAGAAAATTCTAGAAAATTCCAGAAAATTCTAGAAAATTCCAGAACATTCTCGAAAATTCCAGAACATTCTAGAAAATTCCAGAACATTCTAGAAAATTCCAGAACATTCTAGAAAATTCCAGAACATTCTAGAAAATTCCAGAAAATTCCAGAAAATTCTAGAAAATTCCAGAACATTCTCGAAAATTCCAGAACGTTCTAGAAAATTCCAGAAAATTCCAGAAAATTCTAGAAAATTCCAGAACATTCTCGAAAATTCCAGAACATTCTAGAAAATTCCAGAAAATTCTAGAAAATTCCAGAACTTTCTCGAAAATTCCAGAAAATTCTAGAAAATTCCAGAACTTTCTCGAAAATTCCAGAACATTCTAGAAAATTCCTGAACTTTCTAGAAAATTCCAGAACATTCTAGAAAATTCCAGAACATTCTCGAAAATTCCAGAACATTCTAGAAAATTCCAGAAAATTCCAGAAAATTCTAGAAAATTCCAGAACATTCTCGAAAATTCCAGAACATTCTAGAAAATTCCAGAACATTCTAGAAAATTCCAGAACATTCTAGAAAATTCCAGAAAATTCTAGAAAATTCCAGAACTTTCTCGAAAATTCCAGAACATTCTAGAAAATTCCAGAAAATTCTCGAAAATTCCAGAACATTCTAGAAAATTCCAGGAAATTCTAGAAAATTCCAGAAAATTCTCGAAAATTCCAGAACATTCTAGAAAATTCCAGAACTTTCTAGAAAATTCCAGAAAATTCTAGAAAATTCCAGAACATTCTAGAAAATTCCAGAACATTCTAGAAAATTCCAGAACTTTCTAGAAAATTCCAGAACATTCTAGAAAATTCCAGAAAATTCTAGAAAATTCCAGAACATTCTCGAAAATTCCAGAACATTCTAGAAAATTCCAGAAAATTCCAGAAAATTCTAGAAAATTCCAGAACATTCTCGAAAATTCCAGAACATTCTAGAAAATTCCAGAACATTCTAGAAAATTCCAGAACATTCTAGAAAATTCCAGAACATTCTAGAAAATTCCAGAAAATTCCAGAAAATTCTAGAAAATTCCAGAACATTCTCGAAAATTCCAGAACATTCTAGAAAATTCCAGAAAATTCCAGAAAATTCTAGAAAATTCCAGAACATTCTCGAAAATTCCAGAACATTCTAGAAAATTCCAGAACATTCTAGAAAATTCCAGAAAATTCTAGAAAATTCCAGAACTTTCTAGAAAATTCCAGAAAATTCTAGAAAATTCCAGAAAATTCTCGAAAATTCCAGAACATTCTAGAAAATTCCAGAACATTCTAGAAAATTCCAGAAAATTCTAGAAAATTCCAGAACATTCTAGAAAATTCCAGAAAATTCTAGAAAATTCCAGAACATTCTCGAAAATTCCAGAACTTTCTAGAAAATTCCAGAGCATAAAAAATTTCTGGGAAACTGAAATTTGAATTTGAATTTCGTAATTTTGTCTTACCGTCTGTGTATCGTACTATCTCGAAAAGGGTATATAAGCCGAGAATTTTTCATTTTGCTCATTTGTTTTCCTTTTCTTCCACTCAACTTCAATGGCTAAAAGGACTAAAAAGCCAAAGTCAAAGCAGCCCACAGCCCGTGTTGGACGCCCTCGGACCCGCGCCGTCAAGGATAAGGCTCGAGAGGTAGGTAGTGTACTATCCTTATGTATCTTAGCAGGTCCTTTCAGGTTGGGGCTACAACTTCTACATCCAGTACATCAACTACAAAACCTTCCCAGAAGCGCCGATTGGCTATGAAAAAAGCTGAAACTGCAGAGAAGAAACTCCAGCGAAAAGACGAGGAGTCAGAGGAGATCACAGCTAAACGAAGACGACTCGATGCAATAAGAAAAAGGAAGGCGCGTGTGGAAGAGACGGAGGAAGAACATAAGAAAAGGACATCTTCCAATAAAGAAAGAACATCAAGAGCCCGTTCAGAAGAAACAGAAGATCAATACCGTCGCCGGAAATCTTCAAATAGAGTGAGTACATCAAGAGCCCGTTCCGAAGAAACGGAGGGAGAACGTATTCGTAGAATGCTAGCCAACGCTGAAAGAACTTTCAAAGCCCGTTCAGAAGGAACAGAAACCGATACTTTGAAAAGACGTGCTCAGAATAAAGAACATATGACTGTGACACGTTCTACGGAGTCTCCTAAAGCTTCAGAATCTAGGAAAGAGGCAGACCGGAAACGACATAATTCTCATGTCACTGAAGATTGTGGAATAGCCAGAAAAGACGTGAAAGTCGAGGAAAATTATCTTGGGAAAATGTCGATACAATGCTCAAGCTGTGGTGCACTATAAAGGTAACATTACATCTGGAATATTTTTCAGACTGTGAATCTTTTTTCAGGGGAACAGCCCCAGAGCAAAAAGTTCAATACATGCTGTCGACATGGATTGATCCAACTTCCTCTGTTTGATAATTTTCCGAAAGAACTCCACGAGCTCTTCACATCTTCTACTTCGGAGTCTGCTGAATTTTTGAAAAACATCAGGACTTACAACAACTCCTTGGCAATGGGTTCCATGGTCGCACACGTGGATACTCCAAAAGGAGGTGGTCCATACACTTATCGACTGCACGGGCAAGTGTACCACGTCACTGGAGCTCCACATCCGGAACCTGGGCAAGAGCATCTCTGTGCCCAAGTCTTCATCCTTGACACCGAGGAAGCAGCCGCGGAGCTCGCGAATAGAAAAACCAAAGTATCGTGCTCCAAAGATCTATACAAGAAATTGATCGATCTACTTCACATGTACAATCCATTTGTGAAGTCATATAAAATGATGCGAGAGAAAGAGGAAGAAGAGGAATTATTGGCAACAGCCGAAAACCGAGATGTTAGAGAAGTGAAGATGGTTTTTCGATCGAACACAAATTTGAACCCCAACAGGTTAGTAACGGAAACTAAAAAAAAACGGAAATTTCGAAAGCCCAGAAAAAGTTTGAACTTTGGGAAAATTACAAATTTAAATTTTGAACATCGAAAATTTTGAATTTCGATATTTTAAAACTCTGAGTTTCAAAAAATAGAAGCTCAAAGCTTTGAGTTTTTGAAATTCGAAAAACTCAATTTTCCAGATACCAACTTCCAACAGCTGAAGAAATCGCTGTGGTGTTTGTTGGCGACGAAAACGAAAATCCTGGAAAAAGAGTCATCACAGTCTATCAAAGATCCACAGGAACTTTTCAATATCTTTTGGATACTGATAAAGAGACAGATCCATTGTGCTATCCTCTTCTCTTTGTGGATGGAAAATATGGATGGCACGTCAACCAGAAAAGACAAGATGGACATGGAGGAACGACCAAGATGAGTGCTCGGGAGTTCTATTCCTACTACCTTCACATCCGTCCGACCTTCTCTCCACTTCATCACGCAAAAAAGCTTTTCCAACAATTTTGCGTAGATGTCTGGACAAAAATCGAACAGGATCGTCTCAATTTCATCCGGCAACATCAGGATAGACTCCGAGTGGAATTAGTACAAGGACTGATGGATCACATCAATGCAGAAGATGATGGTCCATGCGGAAAAAGGATCTTTTTGCCAAATACTTCACCCGTTTCCNCAAGGCATTTTGTTTCCCTTTACCAAGACGCTTTGGCTGTTGTATCCAGATTCGGAAAGCCTGATTTGTTTCTCACGATCACGTGCAATCCAAGCTGGAAAGAAATCCAAGAAGCTTTGTTGCCAGGACAAGAACCTGTCGATCGTCCGGACATTGTTGCACGAGTCTTCAAACTCAAAATTGAAGAATTAAAACAAGACCTGTTCATCAAGCACATTTTTGGAGAAGTAGCTGCCTGGATTTTTGTCATCGAATTCCAAAAGCGAGGTTTACCTCACATGCACCTTCTGATGATTTTGAAAAACAAATGGAAGCCTAGGTAACTTTGAAATCATGAAAATAAAAATTCAATTTTTGAAAATTTCAGAACGGCTTCTGAAATCGATGAAATAGTTTCTGCTGAGCTTCCGGATCCAGAAGAAGATCCAGAACTTTTTGACATTATCTCCAGTGTGCAAATGCACCGCCCATGCGGTATCCATAACCCAGATTCATCGTGCATGGTTGGTGATGCGTGCTCAAAACATTTTCCAAAGGACTTTCGTCAAAGAACATCTGTTGAAAACGATGGATTCCCGATGTACAGACGACGGGACGATGGGAGAACAGTATCTTTCAAAACGAAAAATTCTGGAGTTGTTAAACTGGACAATAGAAGTGTGGTCCCATACAACAAGTACCTTTCCAGAAAGTTCAGAAGTCATGCAAATTTGGAAATTTGTGGGAACGTCGGAGCAGTTAAATACCTTTACAAATATCTTTACAAAGGTACATCTCGAGCTGCTATCCGCATCTACACTGATAAAAATGGAGTCGAGCACAGGACGGAGAATGAGGTCAACAGCTACTTGGATGGTCGATACGTCTGTGCTCCAGAGTCTCTTTGGCATATCTTCGACTTCCGAATGTCTTACAGAAGCACCCCAGTTATGCAGCTCAAAGTGCATCTGAAGAATGCCCAAGGAGTCGTCTATAAAGAAGGAGAAGAAAAAGATGCAGCAGAGAGAGGACAGCTCCGAGAAACAACACTAACAGCGTGGTTTGCTGCAAACAAAAGATGTTATGATGAGCTTGAATCGGCTGGAATGATTCCAGAAGACGTTGTGGACTGCCGAGGTATCTATTATGTTGAGATGCCAGAACATTTCCAATTCACCAAAGGAAAATGGACTCTTAGAAAAAATGCTACCGATCGATCGGAAGAATGCATTTCGTGTCTCCGAGAGATCAGGAAAGATTCGCATTGAGAGTCATGCTCCTAAACGTCACTGATGCCAAATCTTATGAAGATTTGCAAACCGTTGGAGGTGTCTTTTATGAGAAATTTGTGGATGCTGCGAAAGCTGCCGGATACTTGACTGAGGACATTTTCTATGAAAAGTCGTTGGAAGAAGCAGCGTCATTTCATTCTGCACCACAACTGAGAGGATTCTTCGTCACTCTGCTGATGTTTGGGGAAATTCATAATGCTGAAGAGTTATGGTACAAGTGAGAAATTAAAAAATTTCTATTTTGAAAATCAACATTTTTCAGATTTGTGGATGACTTCTCAGAAGACTTTTTATACAAGCACTTACCAAAAGAAAAAGCCGAAGCTCTTGCTTATAATGATCTTATTGATAGAATGAATGCTATGGGAGAAAAGCTGGATAAATGGATGAGCCTTGGATACGAGAGAATCATTCCAGACGACGTCATTGATTTTGATTACTGCTCAAAAGAAGGAGATAGGATGAGATCAACGTTGGTAGCAGAACAAGAAGAAGTTGTGAAGGCAGTTTTGGATGCTGTGAAAAGTGGAGGAGGTCTTATTTACGTGGATGGACCAGGAGGAAGCGGCAAAACATATGTATACCTTACTCTCATCAACATCCTCCAAGGTATGCATCTGAAAGTCATCCCAATTGCGTGGATTGGGATCGCTGCATCTCTATTGCCTCATGGAAGAACGGTGGCTTCCTTCTTCCATCTTAACATCAAGGATGGATGTAAGACATCAACCATCCATCTTCAATCCGCCGAAGCCAAATACCTCGCCGAACTTGATGTCGTATTTTGGGATGAGGCTCCTATGAGCCCCAAATCGTCACTTGAAACAGTGGATCAGCTTTTCCGTGACGTCACCAAAATCGATAAACCATTTGGCGGAAAAGTGATCATCCTTGGAGGCGACTTCCGACAGTGCCTTCCAGTTGTGGACAGAAAAGGAACAGATGAGCAAATTTCAAATTCCATCAAAAGATCTCATCTTTGGCCACTTTTCCAAGTCTACCATTTGAAGACCAACATGCGTGCCCAAAATGCTGATGAAGAATGGAAAAGGTAAAAAATTAGATATTTAATTTATAATTTTCAATCTGATTTTTTCAGTTTCCTTCTTGGGGTTGGCGATGGTCTGAAAGGAGAAGAGGGGACTGGAGTCATGGAAGTTCCAGAAGATCTCAGATGCGATGGAGATTTGGCCGAGGAAATCTTTGGATCTTTACTTCGAAACGGGTCTAATGTTTCTGAAATCTCCAAAGTGGCCATTCTCTCTCCAACCAACCAACAAGCACTTCAAATGAATCAAAAAGTGATGGAAATGGTTCCAGGAGAGATGAAGACGTATTTCAGTGTTGATGAGGTCGGAGACAACCAAAATAGTCACTCTGATGCTGCCAACTTTCCAACGGAATTTTTGAATAAAATGACTCCATCAGGATTACCACCACACAAATTGGAGCTGAAAGTTGGTGCATTGGTCATGCTCCTCCGAAACCTTGAAGTTCGAAACGGACTGTGCAATGGTACACGATTGGTTGTTCGAGAAATGGGAGAGCGGGTTCTCAGATGCGCTTTTATTTCGGGACCAAATGAAGGTGGAGACGTTTTGATTCCAAGAATCAAACTATTATTCGATTCGGGGATTCCATTCGTGCTCCAAAGACGTCAGTTCCCAGTAAGACCTGCCTTTGCTATGACCATCAATAAGGCTCAAGGCCAAACATTCGATCGTATCGGACTGCTTCTGGACGCTCCGATTTTTGCTCATGGACAGCTATATGTTGCATTGACAAGAACAAGAACTAAGGATGGAATCAGAGTCTGGGCTCCAGAAAAAGTCATGCATAACATTGTTTACAAGAACATCCTGTAGCTCCATTTCTAGCTCAAATTTTTCAACCCATAGCCATTTTTCATAACTATCCTTTTCTAGGAATTAAACTGTTGATCTGAATTTTCCCTTTTTGATGGTTTTAAAATTGTTCTTCTAATCAATTGTTCTACTAATAAATTCGAAAAATAAAATGATAATTGGAACTTTTTGAATTTAAACTGAAGCCAGTGGAAATCGCGGCGTAGCCGCGAATTTTCACTGGTGTTTAATTAAGGGAAATTTTTTAATGTGAAGTTTTCAGAATTTTGAGTTTTGAATGTGCAAAAAAATTGTCGCAAAATCAGAAATTTTCAATTTCTCAAAACATCTATGCTTGTCTGAGAAAAAAAAGGTTAGAGAGTATTTTTTGCAGTCTAAATACGGTAGCCA